GTTTCGTGCATGGTGAAATTTATTTCAAACTTTTTTTCAGACCTACCTCGGCCTGGAAAGCCTCATAGCTTTTCGGCCCCGGAAAATAACTTGAAATATTTTAAGATACTAATAGTTATTTGTAATTATTTTTATATAAACGGAAATGTCATTGCCGACTAAATTTTTTAGATAGAGCATTACTTGTTAGTAGGACTAAACCCCTATTAAACGTTATCGAATTAATAGAAATGTATCTAGTAAATGTATCTAAGATCAACTTTACTATACAAATATTCAATTTATATTTAAATATATATAAATATTTAAACATAACATATGTTCTCTTAGTTCTTTTAATAATTCGCGATTTTTTCTAATAAGCCTCCTTATTTTGTATGAAAAATGTGTGTTGTGTATGTATTAAAAATTTTGAAAAATCATTAAATGCCTTACGTTAAAAATTTAGCAATTTGCGATGGTTATATGATATAGATCGTCATATAAATTATATTTTACTCAATTTATGTTATAGTTATTAGGATTAGATTAAAAATATACATAAAGTATGAATAAATAATTAGAATATCATTTAAATGAAGTTGAGAACAGATTTAGACAACCAGAACATAATCTAAATCGAATCTTTAAATGGAGCAAAAAACAGAATTGAAATGAAATCAGTAGACAATTTCCATATAGGGAAAAAACATGATTATGTTGGTCTATGTCGGCGGAAGGGAGGACAATGAAAAAGGGCGGAAGGGTGTTATTTTGAAACTGGAACGTTTGTTGACTCTTAAATACCCAGGATAAAATTTCTAGAATAAAAATGATTAGCAGTTCTAGAAAGGTGAGTATAGTTCATAAAAGCCACAAGCTAAAGATAATCCAACAAGAACCAATAACAATGTAAGTTGATGAAAGGCTCCTTTTAGCCTAGCTGACATCTCGTATGATTGCGTTGCTTTACTGTGGGATCCATTTAAGCCTCTGCTACACAAACATAAAAGGCGAGATAGAAATAAGCAAGGTATAAATAAGCAAGGAGCGAAATGGTTGTGAAATGCTTTCTGTCAAATGAACATGCCTCCAAAAAGCTGAACACCATAGGCTGAATCCACTGAAGCCGGTTTTAGCTTTATTAGCCACGCACAAAATTGCTCTACTGAAGGGAGAAAAAATCGCATCGATTTATCTTAAGGTAGCTTTATTTTGTATTCTTCGGTAAACCAGGCTTTTTATCTGCCCTTTTTTTCAAAAAAATATCTTCAACAAATGTGAACCCCTCATACATAATAATAACCTTCGCAGTAATGTATCTGAATAGATTCCCACATTGCAACCGAAAAACTCTAACCTCGCTGCGAAAATCCGGTACAAAAACTCGTTTTATGTTCGTGAGTTTTCGTAGCGCGAGCCCATATAGATACGTAGCTAGTTACTTGAAGAAAGAAGTTCGGCACTACCGTATAGTAAAAAATTAGGATATTTCTAAATTCAAGTTCAGCCCTATTATCCGTGAAACAGCAAACTCAGAAAATAACAGCACACTAACGCTGTTCTCTTAAAGTAACAAATAGAAGTTGAATCCGGCAAGAGAGAACACTCGCGTGTCAGACCTCATTTCACTATAACTTCAAGTAGTAGATTTGGCAGAAACCGATAAACAAAATATACTACCCTTACTTTCCTCGCGACACTCTACTTAACTTTGCAAATTAACTCATGCAGTAAACTCGGTACCCAAGCATGCAATATGAAACTTGATAAATACAAAAACCAGAATTTTTCATACATCCATCATAAGCCATACGAATGCAAATCAGTCAGAAGTCACTTGAGATCTAAATTCAAGTTCAATGTTGAATTCTGAGTCTGTTTACTTGCCTGGCTTATAGTACTAACATTATTATTATTTCGTGGCAACTGACATAACCCCATCTTCCCTGAACACCCACATATAATAACCTTTCTTTTCAATGGAATGGTACTTTGTAATGGTACTTATGTAAGTATTGTAATATTATATATCAACAGTTGTTAGTATATGGACAAAAATATGCATACAACCAATAGTAGATCTCTGGAATTCTACTTCATATTGAAACTATCACTTAGTTTTTAGCTGGAGTAGGGCTAAATGAAGTACACAGGTAGCAAAAGCTTTACCCTTTTTGATTTTTGACACTAACACCCCTAGCAGTTCCATAGGTCCAAGCTGCATCTACTAATGTTAAAATGTCCTCCCTCATTAAAAAAGTATTGTTGCTTATCTGAAGTAGCGTTTAATGGCAAATGCAGACGTAATAAATTCGAATCATTGACCTCAATATTGAAGTAAGGCGCCAACGTTATCTTGCAAAGAGAAGGAATTTATCAAGCGATATAAATTGAGTTTGCAATGTAGAGCGAAACCGTCGTGATATCAGTTACAATGTATCTAAGTACGTAGCTAAAAGTCCAGGCGTTAACAAAATATGAGCGAACCCATGAGCATAATAGACGTCAATATGACTAACCAACATCTATTGCAAAGACATGGGGGCGGAGACGGCCCATAAATCCCGCAGCTCGACATATACATATATCTTGTGATTTAGCTCACTCACAACCATACAACATTTGAAATCTTACGTTTAACGCTAAGAAAGGTGCCTTAGAAAGAGACGCTAACCATAAATCTTTTGTTTGTATGTTACGTATCATCAGGAATGCATAATCAGTAATTAACGACAAGCTCAATATCCGCTAAACTTATAATCTTTCGCTTCACAATCTGGTTCGCAAATGGATCAAAAACTTCTTATGTCTATTTTCGTCTCGTCCAAAATGATTGATGAACTCTGTGAATAACCTTATAGTCCTTTAAAGTAGCATACAAGTTTTACTAAGACCTTTGTTCGTTGTTTATACTTGGAATAAAACAGATTACTCGGCTAACTATTACCCGTTATAATATGCTAAACCTATATGTAAGACAGGGGAATCGCAATACAGTTTTTTCTAGTGCAAACACCATTAGAAATCTGTATCTACAGCTGTTACTATTCACAAATTGTTTTAGCAAAAGTTAACACATCCGAGGTTTTATAAGGTAATTGATATCTTAGCTAAACGACTAAATGGCCATTATTTAATTGTTAGAGCATAATTTCGATTTAAGAAACGCAATTTTTACGAGAGAAGCGACACCCCTTATGGGATAACTGTATGTTTAGGGAATGCCGTCAGTCTGAGCAAGCGGAAACTGACAACGTATTTGAGAATCAGAACGTTCGTCTTCTTTACAAACTATCTCTGTCAATAGATTGATTTAGATGTAAGACTTCCACTCGTAAGCCGCACCCGCCGTCAGCGGCATGAATCAAGCACGCAGTTATGACTTTTGGCCTGTTTATTGTACTAATCTATAGAACAGATGCCAATAGCCGCGAACAGGAATCGAGTTGTCGGCCGAAACCGTTCGCTTCGATAATAGTATCTCGTATGAAAAAAAGGTCGGATACGCTTCTCCAATTCAGGGCTCGTATTTTTCCTTATTATCAGAGTGATAAATATATTTTCTATCATATTCCGATCCTAATAAGCATGAGCATCTCCAACTTTGCTCATTGTCAAATAACGTTATGGTCAATTATAAGTAGCATAGTTTTAATTTATTAGTTTCAAAAATGTTGTCCAAAAGTTGGCTAGGGCCACTAAGTGAAATGGGTGAAGTACATCTTTAAGTCTATTTGATATAAAAATCACGCCGATTGCAACACCATGTGTAGAGGCTGATACAGTAGGTAACGCATGCTTCGTTAGCACCACTGAAGCTTACATTCCTAGTAATAGAGTTGGCTGTGTCGTTATCAACTAAGCAGATGCAATTCATTCTAAAAACGATATTAATTAAGGAACAACTTGGAAGCCAGAAAACACAGGAGGTCCCGCAAACTTAGAAAAGGAGAACAAAGCTCAGATGACCAACATGTTACAGTTTCGTCTTATATTCACCGACAGTATACATGGTGGATCAATCTACATAATAACCAATGCACTATCTTATCAAACTGGTTAGCCACAAGGTATACAATTATAATCGAATTCCAAACGCTATCTGCTAGGTACGTTTTGCTCAGCAATATACAGACACGACACGGGATGTATACCCCCCATACTTCTCATCTGACATGTTCCATATTTACAGGATGATGTTTTAGTCTAACGACAGGTTGTCTAGATCTTGCTAGATAATAAAAATCCCTGATTGGTACACAGAGATCACAGATGTATAATGATAAACGACGCCGATGAGAAGGGACAGATTGCACTGAATGGTGGTGGGGCACTCGTGTACCAAACGGAGCATATATCGAGCTTTTTCGAACGTTGTTTGTGAGTGCAGGCTAAGGCTTCCTTTTTGAGATCAGTACCTGCCTATTTTGGACTACCAGATACCTACTGAACATAAATCGTTATACGATAATCTGAGCATAATGTATTCATAATGCAATAGCTTGTGTAAGTGTACGTAAACGCTTGTACCTCGCTCTAGCGCCCAACCTCGATTAAGACGTTTATCCATATTCAATAAATATTATGCCTGAAAAACATCTTGAATTCTAATGAGACGAATATCCTTTTTACTGCAAAGTTATTTGTTCAATATATTCCAGTTGCGCAGACAGAAAAGCGGCACGTTTAAATATTGAAAAAACATGTGACCTGGCGTATTTTCACGCAATTTTGTCACATACATGCCGAATTTATGCATCATTATATGCGCATAACATTTGATTTAATGAAAATTTAGATACAGCTCGTTTCAAAAAAACGATCACGCCGCAAAATACATTACCTAATACATGTGCAGGAAATTATTTCGTATAGACGGGTTTAACACTCTTAAGTTGCCACAGCTTTTCTATATTCGAAAAATTCTATATCTTTCTTCCTAAGCCAGTATAACTTTCCACGAAAAAATGTCCGCAATCTGTAACATCAAATTTATTCATAATGACACCACGTAGTGTGCCGAAACTGAAAACCACTGAGCTTAAGTTACGCTAGTGATTAAGACATTTGAATATTTTCAATAATTTTCAAAGGCTAAAGCCTTTAGTATCTGCAATTACAAGTACAAAATTCGATTTATTTGGTGTACGTATGTTTTATTTTCTTCGCAGTCAGTATTATATTCTTGATTCCATGCTATGACAAGAAGGACTCCTCTGATATATTCGTATCATAAGGGAGTTCAAATATTTTATTCAACGAGTTTGATATAATAACGTGCATTCAATTACCATCTTCGGTATGAATTCGTCAGTTTGTCAATGCTATTTCTAAATATATGACAAAATATACACAGTAGAGCCAACCTCTTCAATGAATCATTTAAGGTCTGCCTTGCTTTTCATTGACAATCGTGAAACTTTTGATAACATGTTTACCCTTGTGACTATGATCTTGCGGTAACAGTGATACAATGATTATCAATTAACTTTTGCCTGTAAACAAAACTGAAAAAATATTTTTTAAAAGTTAGCGTACACCGATCTTATATATGGAAGGAACGTTTTTGAACAATTCCGCGGTTCCATATTGTCGACGAACGTCTTAAGAACAGACGCCAACTCTTTGGGGTAATGATTTCTACATTTAGCTGCTACAAGGAGTAGTCCTGAAACATCCCGAGGTATCTTAATCGCTTTGTCCTCATCCTTTACGAAACCGAGGTGAATTGCAAATAAATTAATGAGGTTGGCCATATCATACTTCAGTTGGAACATTTGGTCAAGTACCGGTGCACAGATTTCGGATGCCGCATCGACGGTATCGGGCGTTCCATCGCTGGCCGCTCCAAACTTTACAAACATGCGAAGTAGGCCAACGTGATCAAGGCATTGAAATTTGTCTATGTACTCCTTAGCTTGCTCATACGGCTGTTCAAGTCGTAATAGCGATTCAGGTGTCGGGTTCCTAGCGAAATCGTCAAATGTAAACGCATCATCGGTATCTTCATCGTACTCCTCCTCTTCAACCTCGTCTTCACTGAAGGCACACAGCGAATCGAGAAGATCTAGTTCATCCATACGTGACTCAATCAATGCGATGCCTTCAGCGCCGAAGCGATTGCCATCCAATTCTAGAACTTGTAGATTTGATTTATTGGCCATGGCCTCCACAATCTTCAGGCCGGCGTCTAGTTCAATCTCGTTATGACCGAGATTGAGTTCACGTAGCTCGGTGAGATATTCAATAGCCGATGCAATGTACTGAGCTCCTTCGGAACGAATTACGCAGTCACCAATATTGAGTACTTCTAAAGACGTTAGCTGACAGAGTGATTCTCCTAAACTTTTAGCGCCCTGAACAGAAAGAATGTTGTCGTTAATGTTAAGCATCCGCAGGTTGGGACGGTTAACGAGCGCTTCACCGATGGCAACAATTCCATCTTTGAAAATGCCGTTTTGCGGTATCACGAGCTCTGTTAGGTCAGGAGACTTAGCAAAAAATTCGGCCAACGCTTTAGCGCCCTCATTCTCAAGTCGTGACCTGCCGCACACAAATACTTCCAGACGAAATTCGCCACCAGACTTATCCAAGCACTCGAGAAGGGCCTTAGCAAGACGGACACCGCCCGATGGCCCCAGGCCAGTGTTATTCAACCGCAGTTCCTTTAGCGAATAACATGTTGGTGCGGTAAGTAACGAGTACATGGCATTAATTGCGAGTTCGCCGAATGCGTTACCGGAAAAATCGAGCTCTACCAACCGACAATTTGACTTCATTAGGCCTCGAGAGAAATGTTCTAACGAAACAGGGATGTCGGTTTTCACACGTCCCGTAAAAATGTCTTCACAAAGTAGGCGCTCCAGCTTACTGCATGTCTTTAACGAGTCACCGAGAAATTTGGCAGCATCCGATCCTAATGTGTTGCCTTGAAGGCAGAGAATTGTTACATCGGGTTTACTTTCCAGAGCATCGCAAATAACTTTGATGTCCTCATACTTGTCAAGCTTTCTGCCTTCACCCTTAAAGTTAACTAGTACACCCTCATCGAGAGTCTGTTGGTCTAGACGATCGATAAGCGAGTTTACACCAGCAGACTCTGCCATCATGGCCACAGCTATGTGACAGTAAAACTCGGTACAGATACTTATCACAACAGTGCACAAGTCTTACGAAATTAAACAACAGTCGTTATGTTCGACAGCGAATTGGCGATAACACACACCCGCACAAATCGATCAGCGCCAATCACGATGTTTTGCCGGTCACCGCTGTCAACAAACAGCAGACGAACTAGGCCAGCATTTAGCACTGCGGCGCCAAATCAAAACAATCGGTACACAAAACAGGACCGCTTTAGTTCATTTAAAATCACTTCTTTGAACTTTATATTAATTTTCAGCAATACTATGTAACCACGATTTTATTTATCTTTAAAGCAGTAGAAAATATACCGCCAATTTTGTGTTAGGTGCGTGCGTACGTACAATCAATTATAGTCGATACCTGACCGTCGAACAATGATACTTGAAACACGTTAATATCGTTGTTAACGACAGCTGGATAACACGAAACCTATTTATATTCTATACAAACGGCCAATGCTATATTGAAAGAAAAGCGCGTAAATCAGTTAAGCAAACCCAGGCAGAAAAAGACAAAAATGAACCGTAGTTAATTTAACGGTAGATTATGTTGATCAAGTGAAATGCACAGATTTTCATTCGGTCTTAATCAACATAATCATTTGAGGGGCCCGTCTGAGCATATATCGACTCGGGCAAACGCTAGCTGAGCCATCTAAATAAACAGTGAATACAATGATTGCGACCAGTCTATGGTTATATGTTGGAGTTCTATGACTTTTTAAGAACCCTGCGATTTTTCAATCTGCCCAGTATGTTCTTTGCTAATACTACCTTCTAACTATTGGGAATACGTTAGACCATAAAGTGAAATCGTCAATGGTCACATTTAGAGACTCATCTCAGTTTACTGTGTGATAACAAAAAGAAAGAATGAGCTAATAGTAGACATATGTGAATTCAATTGGACTACTTAACTATTGTTTCATCACTTCCTACGTAAGGGGTTAGATTTTATGTGCCCCGAAAAATAACGAAAATAGTAAAGCTAACATAATTTTTTTAATACAAGTCGCAAAAATGAGACAAAAAACTACGTGGCCTATAAAGGACAAACTTTTCTGATTGTTAGCAAGAAATATTTCAGCTGAAGACCAAATTGTTTCTCGCGACACAAAAATTGAAATTTTCATCAATAGGTTCCACAGAGGTAGCTTAAAAATAATTCAATTAGAAGGCTTAATTAAAACTAGTGTACGAAAGAATATCTTTGCAATTTTTTAAAACTTCAAAGTTTTTTCCATAATTTTTGGGGCAGACATTGTCAGAAACGATTGGTTGAACCAGTTGCAATTCTAATTCACAAAAGAAACTTGAAAAAGCTTCACCTTTACTATAAAGCGTTTGAATTTTACAACAAACGTAAAAATAGTGTAAAAATAAGCTGAGGTAACGTTAGGCAGTGGATCTTCATCAACGCATGAACCCTGAAAACTTTATTTTTCTAGCCTAGATTCTTATTCTATGGTTGGAGCAATTCCTTAAAATTCGAGATAGAATTGTTGCACGCCTGCGAGCTCCGTCGTCACCAAAACCTTGCCAGTGGTTCGGTACACGTAAGCGCGCCTCCGTCAAATGGGTTGTTGCCCTCACAACCAACTCGATTTTTTCTATTTAAAATGTTTCATCCTGTTAGGCACTGTTTCGAACGGTTGTCCCCATTACCAAACAAAACGTGTCTATTTCCCACCACCAACATTAAGTGCATTAGCTTACAGAGCGTATCAGCGGCGGGCACTCGTCGTCGTCTGCACATTTAGCGCGGCCACCAGGGGGCGTTACCAAAGGTCAATCGTCTAACCACCTGATTTTATTCCAGCGACTGTCGATTTTTCAATCAGCTATGGGTGTTTTTCATTACAATCGATGCTAGACAATGGTCAGCAAAACAGCAACACGATCCACAATTTTACCAATACCTTCAAACTGTTCCTATTCAAAGTTAACCGTTGACCAATTAGCGCATCTAAATCAACGTGCATTGTTGTTGTTATTGTTGTTACGACAAAAAATACGTTTCACCAGCGTTTGTGTTTGTCAGCGATTGGCATTTGAGCTTCTAGGGTGTAATGGACAACAGTTCTGTCTGAATTACCGTAGGTGACAGTGGCCACCCAAGAGCTAGTGACACCGTATTTACATCGTCAATTACACTGTATTGCTTATCGAACCAGGCGCGCTAAATAGAGCAAGTCTCCAGATCGAACAGACAGGCGCAAGCGACGAAGTAACGAAGAGGCTCACTATTGGCTGAACGACTGATAGACTGAATTGAAAAACTAAGGCCAACAGTTGCCCCTGCTTCAGCCTACATTTTTCTTCCTTCTCTAGTACAACACATGAAAATCTGCTTGTTGCAACCACACTAATACGGAACTTGTGGAGTAACATGAGATAACTAGTGAGACTAGACGTTGACGTCTCTTACGGAAAAATGGCGGACTGTAGGGGATTGCAGGCTTGTCGCGACATTGGATTAATTTGCGGCTGACGCTACAACAACGAAGCGCATGAGGGGCAGGGAACCACAATAAAATATAAAGACAAGCATTAGGTAATTCGGTTGAGCTGGAGACTTCGAAACCACTGTACTGTTAAAGCGACCGGAACAGTGGGTCGAGTAAAATCTCCGATTTATTGCGCCCACATTTGTATAGTAGCGTCTGTGTAGTCAAAATTGAAAAGAACAATAGAGAACGAGTTGACTTGAAATAGTTGGTTTAACTGTGTTTAAAACAAAGCGTTGCTAGTTAATAGACTGAGTTCGGAGGATACAAGGTTATCGTCACTACCTTTTGCCACCAGCTAATTCAAATCTTACATGACATGATAGTGATGCTAGGCCCTGTCTCATCAGAAGATATTACTCCTTAAACTTGTAAAGCCAAATGTCAGTTAGTCCAGATTTCTTCGTTTCATTGCGTGTCATAGGAAGGAACTGGGTTTGACAGCGATAACTTTGATGCACGTTTCTAGGTGTGTCCGCGAACAGAGAAGTTTATTTTCTTGCCGGAAGATGTCATTTACTACAAAAGCCAGGACAGCAGCTCGGCTGCCGTACACCGAAACAGCTGACAAACTCAACCTCGTTTTGCGCGCGATTCACGAAGATATTTTGGGATGTGAATGTCTTCTCTCTATTCTGTCTGGGGCGATCATGAGTTATCGGATCGATTCAGTTCTACGACCATATCCACCGATGTTCATGAAAATGGATGGTGAAAAAGATATAGACAAGCTACGAGAAACACTTAACCGTACACCCCGACTTCGCGACATGGGGCGAACATCTGTCGACTCCGATGTCATCGATCTTCTTCATTGGTGCTTTTGTTCGCTCCCTTTTAAAGTGATATCAAGAGACAAATCATTGATGCCAGGGGCCGACTACCTACTCGAATTCGTGCCCTCTGAACAACAAGAACGGCTTTTCGAAAAGGCTAGACTCGCTGCTTCACAATCACCCCTGATATCAGCCTATCACGGAACAAAAATAGAGAACGTTTTCTCAATTCTCAACTGCGGACTGCTGACATACATGAACAAGGTGGGCATTTTCGGCTCGGGAACCTACTTAACAACAGAACAACGTGTAGCACAAATGTTCACGAACCGAGGCCCTGTCTGGCCCCGATCAAGTCTTGGTAGTCATTTACGTTGCGTTGTCGTGTGTGACACGATCGCCGACCATCCTGACGTTCGGTGGACAGAAAATAATAACAAACAGAATAAGCACAACGTTCCTGACAAGTATATACTTGTTAAAAACAACTCTGTCTTAAAGGTTCGCTACTTAATGCTTTATGCAACAAAGGCACCTCGCCAGCAAGGCACTCCAGCTACGCTGAGCCCTAGTCGCTCTCGCCTGTGGAGTTTCGCTCGAAATAACATCAGCTTCCTTGCGCTTATGATGTATGGCTTTGTGCTTCTCTGTATCAATTTACCGTCATGCAAGCCACTGAAGCAGATCTGGTCAAAAATGTACCATAACTTTGAATAACGTAGCTAGAAGTATGTCAGACAAAATCGACGAATATGTAAAATGAAGTCTCAATATTTTATCTAAGTACAGACAAACTCTATCGACCTTAATATATAGTTGGTCTTGGTTTTTATTTTTCATACCCTTATTACGTTTCAGTAGTATTCGACCTGTTCCAAAATGAAATACAGTAAAAGGCAGGATCAAGAGCTTTATCGGAGTTTAACAAGAATGACATCATTTAGAGTTACAAATCGCGCACTGATAAAGTTTTGTGTTGCCAATGCGTTCCTCTAATAAAAACACCATAAATTTGTCTGTTCATGTCTTAATTTTGTTTTTATTATAGCCGACTGGAATACGATGGCTTGTAAGCTAAAAATTAGGTCGTGCTATGCATCGTATCATAGTTGTCGTATATAATTGCGTTGTTGCGGACAAGAATAGGACTTTGGTTGTGATGTGAGATCTTTCTCAATCGCCTCATATTGTTCAACATCGGGAGGGATCTAATTTATCTGGTGACGGCAGTAAGATTGAAGTTGTCTCGAGCAAATCAGAGTCCAATTCGTTGGCACAAGAGTGCGTAACACTTTGGTGTAAGGAAGAGAAAACACTTAAATAGAACCGCAAATGAAATTTCTACTGTATCGTTTGCATGTAAATTATACATAACTTACAAATGCTGTCATATGTATACCGAGCAAACAAGTGCGTAAACTCGAATTCCCAACATGTGTTAACTTTACTGCATTCCATAGCATAAAGACTCAATTAGAGAATTGCAACGTTGTCAACCAAAGTACAGCATTCAATACGAGTCAGAGTTTTCCGTATTATTTCCAGATTGACTGGGCTTATGTTTGTTATACCCACCATCCAAAATTTAGTGAGATCCTATAAATCTAAATGGATAGTACTGAATAGTAGAAATTTAATATTTGTAAATAAAGGGACAATGCTTTGTAGGTGAACATGATAATATTATACGTAGACTTAGAGTTTTTAGACCTTTTCTAGTGTCTAACGTAGGACGTGTGTAGACTGCTGAAAAAAAGTTGTGATTACCGTTTTGCGAAGTATTACCGACTTTCATGTAATGGAAGCTACCCATCGTCGTTTTTCTCTTTTTTTGTTATTGGTTTGTACATTTACCTGAATCCTGTTGGCTTTATAATTTTGTTAGCATTCAGCTATTACAGCAAGTAATCAGATACGAATGGTTTCTTTGGTTTTTATGAGCTGGAAGCGTCCTGTATGAGCTCCAAATTACTATCCGACAGCCGCAATAAAGCTGCATACAACAAATCGGTTCCATCCACATATATCGCATGATTCTCCGTTTTGTTCTTGTACGCAGTATGGCAATAGGCGCGATCGTCTAATAGGTGTATTTAAACATACAAATCTTTATCCATTTGTGGCAGGTAACACGGTAATAACAATAAAAAACGCTAGAGTATGGAGGGAAGCATCAGACAATCGACCATAAAACGGTTGCCTATAACTTAATGTACAGTATATTTACACATTGGCTCACCGCCTAGGCATTCCTGTCCTAAAACAATGAATTCGTAGTTACAGTATTGATGTTATATCTATATTAAATTATCATATATGTATTAGGTCGATATTAGAAAATAGCTCTGCATGAAACGTAAGCTGTTCACAGGTGCTATTCACGGATGGTACAGGCACAGATTTTGCCTCAGGTTGCAGGTAGACTGCAGCTTGTCAGACGCAACCCTGTGCCTTCAGTAACGCAGCTAGTTTAATAGTACCGAACGCCGGCGTAATCTATCTGGAGCAAATGTGTTCCGTGATGACTTAGGCCGGTTGCCACTTGCCGCTCGACGTTGGGGTTCTATAAAATTTATCTACTCATTGTCGAGCCCTGACGGTGAGTCGCTAAGGAAATTTGTCGGTCGTTGTAAAAGCTGGCAGTAGCTGCTGCCTCTGTTATCGCTTTCGCCATTCTGTTTCGTGGCAAACGCGCGACACTTAGCTTAATAATACTGACGCTGCTGCAGATAAAGTCTGCACAAAGAGTTAAAGCCGCGTTAGGCCACAGTTTCAATACGCAGCAGTTATTACAACAACAAGAACTTGTGTTGGTTTCTAGTAATATTTCTAGTCGGCAGTGTGGTAGAAACAACAATGGTTTTTGCAACGATGTTATCCTGTAAACAGTCGCTATGGGACTGATGCGGCATCGTCTGGCTACCTACGCTTTTGTGGATAGCGATGTTGCGCTGTGTGTTGCAACATGTGAGATGTATCGGTGGGCCGTTTGTGCCATGGGTCAATGAAAGGCCACATTAAAACTTCGAGTTACGAGGAATATTATAGTGAGATGATAATAGTTGCCTATTCAGGTTCTCTTTGCTAAATGAAAACAGATGTCGTCGTTACGGCGATTTGGTATGTACTTAGCCTAAAAGTGGAATTGAAATACATTATTATTGTCTAATAGTTTACCACCCAGAAATTGCCAACGAAATCATTCCACTTTGAACTTTAGCAAGTTTTCCTTCGACTACACACGTCATCGAGCCGGAAAGTATTTAAATTATGCCCAAAATTGCATTTTTTGTTAGACTTTTTCTTTAGCCTAAAGTAGCCTTTTCAGTAATACTTCTTTATACGGCGAATACCCTGTTTGGCGATACCCTAAAATTTCCAGTTCGTGACATGCTGATAATCGTTAAGAGCTCAAAGAAAATTACCGTTTTTCTGTAAAATTAAGAGCTTGACTACGGCTAATCTCGCGATTAACTTTTGTTTTTCTATCACTTTCTAAGGAGTAGGCGAAATACATACACCACATGTCTTTGCTTAATTATGTATAACAATCGGATTTATTAGAGTTTGGTTAGCGAGATGAAAATCAATCTTACTTCTCAAATTATTTTTGGTTGCCTGCTTATTATATGGTAGGTAGTATCTCAGCCAGAAGCACATAGAATTTTCCTGGGGATTGACGACGCAAAAGGAATCAGCTCTTAGAATGTCAGTGCCGATTGGTTTCCCGATGGCTAAAATAGCTGAAAACGAGGGAATAGAATGCGAGTGTCATAACTGCAAATGCAACGACGACCATACCATTAACAGTACAAACGTGTGAGAGCAATTAGGCTATTATGGTTGATGCTGTAACAGCGTTTTGTCTGAGTCAAGACTATTCGAAGAGCTGACTAACTTGACAAGCAGTGGAAACACTTAAATTGTAATATACTCATAGGTTATCATAGTAAGTTGTTATGTGTTTATAGCAAAGGTACCCTCAGAACGCTGTGTGCGGTCCTATGACGTATCCAAATCAATGGGATTAGACACTATAAGATTTTCATATAGAGATTAGTCGGTTGCCTACTCGTAGGCATATGTTGAATTCTGCAGGATATAAGGTTGAGCCTCGATTGTCCTTTTATCCACGGACATTACAACATTGCTTTTCAACAGGAGACAAACAGGAATCCTGCTCAACTTAGCCTATGCTAAACGAAACGGCGATATTTTCCTGTGTGAGATCGCCATTAGATCAACGACAAACTGCGAACACCAAGTTTTTAGTTTGTAGCGTTATATATGTGTGTCATTCACTGTGAGAGGATCGAACGCGTCAGGCTTCTCACGGAGGATGTCAGCCGCTCCTGTAAATAAATAACAACATTGTCCATCTCCGAGCTATAGCCGATCGCGCTACGGCAGTCCAGCAATTCAGATACGCGTTCGAGAAAACCGCGTTGCGGTCTATGTGTTCCACTTATCGCACAGTTAACGAATAAGGCAACGTAAAGTAAAGAGATCGAACGGGGAAGTGAGAGCTAACGGTATTAGTTAATGATATTTTCTAACGTTGACGTCCCTTTGCAGCTTCGTTTTGATTTCGATCGCAATCGGTGCCACAACGCTATGATAAGTAGTTTGCTTTTTTCTACTGATAACACCAAAATATATTGGTATTGATAGTTAGGCCAATAGCAGAGAGACTACAATACGTGACTGGCGCACACAAACCTTATGCTCGACAGTGATGCTTTAGTGCGTGTTAACCAATTGCTGTTTTTGCGCGGCCACTTATATTGACCTGAGGAACTTGTGCCAATCGATGGATAAGAAAACTGACGAAAAGTTTTTTTCGTGTTTTCGCTACTGAATCACCGTTCGCATGCGCGCAGTGAGAGATTAGCATCATGAATACTACGTACCGGAAGTACGATCTCGCCAAACGAAGGGATACAATTAAACCAAGACGAAGGCGACAATTTCAACGGCGGAGGAAGAAATCTTATCTACCGATACTAGGAGATGGAGAGGGTAAATTTCACACCCTTTACGATATTCTTTGCATTATGCTTAGATAGGTATGTGGCTGTATGTTGAGAGAGCAATTAGTATGTAAACAAGCAACATACACCTTAATTAACCGTCATAAACGTGAGGGGTATTGAGCGTGAATGTATGACCGAGTTTCATCATTCTGAATTAACTGTTGTGTTTAACTAGGGCTATTTAGAATGTGTCCTGTAATGTACCGATAGTTTTCTGCTAACAATGTTACGTGTACTCTATTACAAAGAGAACTTTCAACTGTTTTCCTAGTTCTGTTCTCGAGATTTGGGAATCTTGTCGATACTCAGGAAGATTATGACCCTGAATAGAAAAGATCTCGATATGCGCGACCTTTTTCAACCGGGTAGCCTTAAATTGTTGCTTTCGATTTAAGGTACTTCTATAGTCATATCGTTCCTGCACGATTTTTAATATAATTTAGGTCCTGTCCTTTTATGCAGATTGAGAAATATAGTTTTGCATGCTACACTACAAGGTTATTTACCCTCTATGCAAATACAAGTTGGTCTGCACTTTTTTTAGGAGGGATAGTAATGTAGTTAAATGCTGTCGAATCTAGAAATAATACAACAAGCTGAACAGCACAAGTGGGCTATAAAGATAATTATGGAAGATTTTTAACTATGAAGCCATTGGCTGCAGCCTTTCATAGAGGTTTTGTGAGATAACTAACTTTAGAATAAGTCTCGCGAAATCAAATTTTGATGTTATGAACATACTTAAGTTTAAAAATAGCTTTTTAATGCTGAAAGATGAAAACAGGTCTCAAACCTAATCTTTTTTTATAGAAAACTGAAACATCGCACAGTACGTTTACGGTGGTGATTTAGTTGATTCTAACTATTAATCATTAGCATTAATATGCTACGACAGAAATGAATATGAAAATAGGCGAATTCCGTTTTTTTAGTAAATGCCATGCACAAAGAACCTTATGAACCCGAACCTCGGAAGCGCTTTAAAAAAGTATCGGCTTTGCTAACGACATTGAGAAGTGATCTAAATTTAATACATTGATTTTCTTTCTTCCCTCATTACCCATCACCGTGTATTCACGACCGAGTTAAATCTATGAAGAAAAGCTTATATCTTCGAAGAAACATCCGAAACATTCAGCATTCATAGTGCGGACGTCTAGGAGTACCGTTGGATTACCTATTCGAACATGCAGCAGAGACGTGAATAATGTAAAAAATTTATAAATTCTGCCAGAGTTCCCGAACAAGCATCGTGTATGGAATCAGTTGTAGCCGATCTGAGACAAATTGGGATCGGCTTCTCAAAAACAAATTATGTATTACTACTTGTGTAGCTATTCGGATTGTTCTTTGTCAAACAAACTTCACTTCTTGCTCATCTATAATTCTATCTTGTTTAATATAAGCAGGTGTATTTTATTGTGATTATTCACATAGCTGCCAGTATTCAAAGGTATAACCAAGTTACGTGTTTGTCAACGACAAAAACCCCTTGACGTCGAAGCAAGAGCGTCGAGCTGACGTGTATGGTAAGTACGAGCGGTCCTCAGAGGCTCGTAAGACAAGAATTCATCTTCTATATTAGATATAACTTTGTTTTATAGAATTGTCACATCTACGGTTGTTGTAGGGCCTGAGTATGTCGAGGTGACGTTCATCGCAAAACATCGTCAGGGCCCAATGAATGGGCGCGCTTTACTAAGAAATCGTCAGGTGTTTTTAGGATAGTCTTTATCGTAGTTGGACGTGTACTGAGCTTGAATTCTCTTTATAGGTTTTGCCGTCTTATCCTTGAACTGCAAAAGAAACTATTTGTTATTCTATCTTATACAGAAGTATACACGCTTTTTATAACGAATGTGCTGAGGATGGGCGTGCGATGTGGTATCACCTAAACGAAGCATGTAAAGAAAAACGCCAAAAATGGCGTTAAGCTATCATTTAAATATTACAACTCGTCGCTGTGTACGTGAGGTTTCGAATTAAATAGTTAGAATACTTATACATATTTACTGAGATGCTTCAGGCAGTAACATGGCTTGAGAAGTGATAAAATAAATGTCATAAAGTGACAGCTGACCAAGCTTCGCAGTCGGCTTAATCAGTTGTTGTCGCCAATGCCAAAATAGCGGATTGTGTGGTGGAGTAATGGCGCGTTTTCGTACCACCATAGCTTATATGTGTTTGCTACCTGTTTCCCTGATATGTTAACATAGCCGAACCAAGGGCTGTACAAAAGTCATTTGGATATAGGGACGACCATCTGGTCCGAAGCACTTCAGAATACCACCGACAAAAAACAATTGAATGTACTTACATGATACGTTATTACAGACCGTATACATTTAAAACTTGACCAAAATACAACATCAGTAAAGTGAACTACCTTGATTATTTCCATTGGATCCGTCTTACCTAATATTAGCCACTTTTTCCTTAGTTTTCTCCACTGCCCGTGTATTGTCGTAGATTTAAAAAGGAGTTCACATCTCGAGAAAACTACGATTTGGTCTTTTTTTCGACGAACCTGTAGACTCTGTTTACTACCAGGAAATGGTCTCAGGCCTATTTGCATCTCAAATAATCGAAATAAGTTTGCCAAACATATGGTTTCAGCAAGATGATCCACCTTTTCACGTAACTAATAACATCCATCCGTAACTAAAAGATCACTTTGGTCGATGAAGTTGTCAGTAGCTAACTTTCTTTGTTATAGCCGTAGATTCTGTTTGCTTTGTCAATTCCACACTTTTGCTCCAGTTTGCGAGACCCCTCTTTCACCGATGTTGTTACGACTGTCTGTATTTGTTCTCGACTCTTGCTGCTTGATGGCTATGCACAAGCTCTTTATTTACTCTCTGGAATTTCCATGAACGTAAGTATGGCCCTGGGTGATTGCTGTTATGGCTAGTCTGTTAAAGAACCTAATTTTACTTTGCCGCCTCTGCTTCGTGAAAAATGCTTCTCGCAATTCATTGATTTTTACTTTGATCTTATTAGCACCCATTTCTTCGCAGCCTTTTGGAGTCTCTTTTTTTTCGAGCAGTTTTCTGTCATTGTTGTCACGGTTGTTACTGTGTTTCCGTTTGGTAGGCCGGGCACCGCTACGGCGTTCCAGTCAATTTTGATTATCGGTAATCCATTACACGTCCGCAGCGCTTGAGCATGTTCCTGCCTGAGTGCCTTGGCCAGATTTTCGTCTCAGTTTTGAGAGATAGCCTCTCTCCGACGTCCAAGTTAGATACGCCCTTTTTATGTCAGAAATTAAATTTTTAACTGTAGGGTCGTAGTATCTGTAATACGGCCAGAACTTGCCCATCTTCAGTACTTAAATAAGTGCTGACGAGATAAGCAAGAATAATTTTTAGTTCATCCATCTGGAGGTTTATGGTAACCCTCGTTGGGTTTTGTTTGAGTTATTGCCTGGAGCTGAATAGAACTTCGATTTTGCAAAATAATAGTAATAAAGTAATAATAAAAATAAAAAATGAAAGTAAAATTAAAATTTTAAATTAACGTTTCTTTCTGTTTTGTCGCTTGTGCGAGGGTTTATGCTCCGAATCTGCTCAAGTGCGCGCACACAGCGCCGCTGACAGAGCGACGCAATGCATATCGCCGCATACTCTTCGCTTCTCTCAAGCGTGCACCACCAGCAGAGTCCTTTGGGAAAAGTATTTGAAGAATGCTAATATGCTATTTATGCGGGGTGTCCATGCTGTAGCACTATATAAAAGCTTCAACAAAGCAACTGCTCCGTAAAACTGAATTAAAATATTGGCAATTCTTACGATTAAGATCTAATTCCCTCTCCACCCGTGTTCTCCCTTAGATCTATCAAGCTTGATCTGGACCCAACACCTAACCTAAAACCGTTACGTATTACACCGATGGAATCTGGTGTTGAAATGGGGTTTTGAAGTTCTAGTAGGGGGATGCGACCAGCGTCAAGTAATTTGCCAAAAATAAGCTTAATATGTTGAATTTCCAATTCTCGAAAAGGTTCCAGTACTAGACTTTTTTTGTAAGCTTATAATTTCCCGTAAGAGCCCTATTATTTTCCCTAGTATACGATTAGGACCCTTTCCCAATATTACAAGTCGATTATTCAGATACAGGTGAGGTTTTTTGCGTAGAGTACATAGTGTCTCCGAAAATTTGGCCTGTGGGTTCTGTTATGTTCGTTTTAGTGGCATGAAGGAACGCATTTAGCATTTGGTCTAGGTCCCTGACGAGTTCCATCATCAATGTCAATATAGAAATAACGTCACATCCCTGTGGCTAATTCTGAATGTATGTTGTATTTCTCTTAAGATTACCTCTTTTTTTTTTCATTTCACTGTCCTACTTCAGATTCAGTTTGCTATATATCTGTACGTGGCAGCAAATATTATCCTAAGTCGGGAGGGTGTGATGGTCCTCATTTTGGATTGGTTTTCTCAATAACATTACCCTTCTGACGTGCAATTCCGTGTGTTCACTGTCAATTTATATTTCAGCTGCTATTTCGGTTTGTTAAAACAATTGCTATTGTCGCATCTTCGCGGACGTACTTGAGGTTTTTGTGTACGTAGTTTTTTGTGCGGTAACTCGTATTTCAATATTCTCCTACGGAGTTTGCACTAGCGAATTTTCTGTCACACTATTTTCAGAAGCCCACACCACTTACCCGTAGTGCGAATTAGTTACTTGAGATTCCCATGGATAAAACGTTTTTACGTTGATAACAAGGTCGCTAAGAAAACCTCATGTGAGCAATCAAATGTGTTAGGTCTGCAATTTAGAATATTGTGAAAATGTTTGCATTCCGCGAGAGTCATTCATCACTTGAGTTCAGACATTTCTTTAATAGTAATCTTCAAAAAACGAATCTCTCTCATTTTTTTTCTTAAAGTAATCTCAGTTAACCTTAATGATTTAAATAAAGCGGCTGAACTTTAATTAGACGTACGTTAGGCAATGCTTTATTAGAGTTAATATAATACAGAA